ATTGTGTCATGTTCTAAGAACCATTGGGTTCCAGCTACCAACTGCCTGGAAAAGCCCTGATATATTCTCTTTCTTGCCTGATAGTTTATACCATGTTAGTACCTTTCTAGAGTAAGACACATATCACCGTGGTAGCCTTAGACCAGAAGCCAAAGGCTGGCTAATTCTTTCCATGGGCTAATCCTATGGTCATTTCAAAGACAAGTTTTTTTTTTAAGATTTTTATTTATTTATGCATATAGAACTGGGATAAAGGCTAGAGATGGGGGTATGAAAGGATTCACTAGAGATAGAGTGGAACTGAACAGGCAGATGCACTAAAATACACTGTTGAGGGGAGCAGCGGGCAGGTCAGGAGAGGTCTCCCACTCCATGTGGTTCACCTCCCTGGCAGGTGATCCAACTCAGACTGCAGTGGCAGTGACAGCTTCACAGTACTGCACATTAACCCACTGCACCACCAGAAAGGTCCCTCTTTTCTCATTTTCTTCATTTTCATCATTTTCCTTTTCCATCGAAAAAAACTACTTCAAAATAAACATTTTTTCCTATTGCTTTTCTAACTTCAGTTTAATTTATTTCTATTGTGATTCATTCTTTTCTTCCGTTGCTAACTTTAGCCTCACTTGGTTTTGGTTTTTTGTTTTTTTTTTTGTTTTTTTTTTTTTGTAATTCTTTGAAGTGTAAAGTTAGGTAGTTTATTTGTGATCTTTTTTCTTCATATATGTATTTATTATAAACAACCCTCTAGAACTTTTTTGCAGCATCTCACATGTTTTGTATTTTGTATTTCCATCTCCTTCAAGACTTTTTTAAAAATTTTTATTTATTTATGCATATAAGAACTGAGGTACAGGCCAGAGGTATGGGGGTGAGAGGATTCACCAGAGACAGAGTTGGGAGCTGAATAGGTAGATTGACTGAAATACACTGCTGGGGAAGCAGTGGGCAAAACAAAAGAGGTCTGCCACACCATGTGTGTCACCTCCTTGACAGGGGATTAAAATCAAGCTGCAGTGGCTGGTGATAGTTTCATAAAGCTGTGCTTTAACCAGTGTGTCACATATTTTTTTATATCCCTTTTGATTTTGAGTGTCACATATTTTTTTATATCACTTTTGATTTTTCTTTTTTTCTTTCTTTCTTTTTTTTTTTTTTTTTTTGTATGCACTGGTTGTCAAGATTGTGTTGTATGATTTCCCAAGATATTTGTAGATTTTTCCAACTTTCCTCCTATTCATTTCCAATTTCATACCACTGTGGTAGGAAAAAACTGAGGGAAAATTTCAATGTTCTTAAACTATTGGCTTATATTGTATCCTTTCGCACAATCTCCCCTGAAGAATGTTCTGTGAATCTGAAAATAATTTGTGTGCTATTATTGAATGGTATGTTTCTTTGGTCATTTGGTCTAACTTCTTTTCAAATCCAACATTTCCCTGTTGATTTTCTGTCTGGGTGATCTATCCACTAGTCAAAATGGTGTACTGAAGATCCATTATATTATTTTGCTATATTTTCTATTATACTGTCTATTAAACCTGTTGGTATTTACTTAATAGTCATAGGGGCTCCAATATTGAGTTCACAAATATTTGTAAGTATTATGACTTCTGAGAAATTGACCCCTTACCATGACATCTTTTGTTTCAGTTTACAAAACTCCTTTCAGCATTAACCTTCTTTGACTCTTCTTACAATTTTGCCTTAATGTCTAGCCTGTCTGCCGCATTATGGTAATTCTTTCTTTGCTTTCTCCTTGCATGGAATCTTTTCCCACCCCTTCAGGTTGAGACTGTGTTTCCTTAAAGCTGAAATGAATCTCCTGTAAACATCATACTGTTTGTCTTGATATTTTATCCATTAAGCTACTAAGTGCCTTTTGATTCGTTACTTCAATCCATTTACAGTTAGAGTAATGATTGTTGAGGACTTACTAATGTTATCTTTATTAATTATTTTCTGATTGTCTGTGCTTTTTCTTTTCTCTCATTTTCTCCCACCTTTTCTAAACTGGTGATTTTCCATTATTGTAGGCTGTTTTCCCTTTCTTATATTTTGTGAATATCTGAGGTTTCTGCTTTGTAGTTACCACGAGGCGAACATAAAGTATCCCACTGGATAAACTATGCATTTTAAGCTTATAACAGCATACCATGACCACATACAAAATCTCCATTTTACACTTGTTTGAAAAACTTTGTTCAATTTACCTCCTTTAAATTGTGTATTCAGTCACTATTATACTAACTATAGTTATTTTTATACTGTTTATTTTTAACCAGTATACTATATGGTTAACAAACTATAACAGAATATTCTAAAAACAAAAAAAATTCTAAATATTTGTTCTTTGTGTCTAACAAGGTGTTTTCATACTTTCATATGTTTTCATATCACCAGTGACATCTTTTGTTCCAGTTTACAAAACTTCTTTCAGCATTTCTTGGAAGATCTACTATGATGAACTCCCTCACAACATAATATTGGGTGTGGGGGTGAGAGCCCCTAGTAGGTTATATCTTTTTTCCCCTGGATGTTTTTAAAATGGTCCCCTTGTTTTTATTTTTATTTGTGATAGTTTCATTATAATGTGTTCTACAGAAAAAATGTACACATCAAGGAAAAAAAAGTGAAACGAGGCAGACAGGGTAAACAGGCAGAGGCAGGATCATAGGATGGAACATCCTATCACCTGCCCAGACTGAGAAAAGAGAGCTACCAAAAAGTCCCAAGAAGCCAAATTCAAAAACCAAAACCAAGAGTTATAGCTATACACTATCCATACAACAGGGGCCTATGTGCTATAATCAAACAAAGGACAGTGCCCAATAGCAGCACAGGTTACTGTCTGGAGGTTCTCACCAGCAGGTACAACTGCAAAAGACCTAAGCCTCCAGGAACAACAACCATGGGGCTTATTTTACAAACAGGGGAAATATAGAGCTTACTGTAGCACAAATGACTGGCTTTCTCACCCAGATAGTGTTAGTGATGGTCGCCAAGGGTGACCAGGAGGGTTGAACAGCACTGACCGGTGGTGATGTTCACTACAGGTTCTCTAGAGACAGTGGCAGAGACACCAAATGTTCACAGCACTCTGTGAGTTGTTGGGCTATACCAACAATAATCCTAATTCACTGTTGGTGAATGCAGACTGGTCCAGCCAGTATGGACAGAAACACGGAGGTGTCTAAGAACATTAAAAGTGGATCTCTATTCCATCTAATAATACCACTCTCAGGCATCTATTCAAGAGAGTTCAAAGCCAATAAATCAAAAGGAAACTAGCACTTCTATGTTTACTGCAAACTAGTTACTATAGCTAAATTGTGGGAACGTACTACGTGTCTCTTGTGGCAATATTATTTAACTTTTATTTCCTCTCTGGTTCTTGCAACCCACTATCTGATATTTGGAAGATTATTGTTCCTTTTTCAAAAGATGGTGTTAGAGCTCAGTCTGTGGTTTCTCCTTAGCATACAGACAGTGGTCTGTTTCTCTGATAGACTGTCATTTATCATAGTAGACCTCCCTGTTGAATTCAAACCACACAGAAGCAGCTGACCACAAAGGAAGGGTGTCTAAGTCACCCGCAGACCCAGTGGAGAGAGCCATGGGTAAGAGTCTCCAGAGACTCAGGGGTGGACTTCTTGCTGAGGCCCTTGGCTTCATCAATAGAAATCACCTCCCTTCAGGGACCTTTGATATTACTATCTGCCTCTATTTGGATCTCTTTTCTCCTCCAGCATGTCCCACAAAACAGGGTTAGTCATGCACTTAGCACTCTCCTTTTCCCTAACTGGAGTAGTTCTCATGCACATCACCAAACTTGTACTGGAATATTTGCTTAGAGAAATGGACTTCTATAAAGTTCTCTCACTTCTGTAGTTATCTGCCCAAGTCACCCTACTGGGCATACTTCCAAGCATAATAAAAGAGGCTGGGAGGGTTAACTACTTCTCTGGTTCTACAGCCTAAACCAAGGTCTCCTGCTAATTATGAGATATACAAGTGGGCATGACTCCTCCCAGGTCCTTTGGCATTTGTTGCTACATCAACATCTCCCACAGGGAGACTTTTGTTTCTAGATAAAATTTACTTAGTTATTTAACGGCCATGGCAATAAAAAGGGGAACTTCTTCTACCATTATGCATTCATCTCCAAGGACATTTGAAAGTGGAGGAGACATGGAAATACCTAATGGAGGGGAATCTAATGTCACATATTTTATAAAAATTGATAAAGAAATAAAATATTGAAAAATTTAAAAATCAATTTAAAAATAAGGTATGACAGAATAAGTAATTGTTATGAAATGATCTAAAATTAAGTGGCAGAGATAGATAGGGTACAGTCAAAACTGGCTGGTAGAAACTAATAGAGGAAATAGTAGCACTATTATGTTCAAACAAATATAAAGTTGACAAACTCACGCATCTTTTCAAATGCTAACCCTTGGCTTAATGTTCTCCATGTACTTGATTCTATGTAACAGGATGTACAAAAATCAGGCTGCACACAGAAATCCATGTTCAGAAAATCTACAAAGATGTCTCCACACAAAAAAAAAAAACTTAAAAAATGCTACAAAAAATATTTCTTAAAACAATGAAACATGGAAGTGAGAAAAGAAATTGCTGACCTTCAACCTTAGAATAGTCATCTAGGCCCTGCATTGGTGGGGCACAGCACTGTGAAGCTATCAGCAGTCACTTCAGTGCATGGTCAATCCCCACCCAGGAGGTGACCCACATGATGCAGCAGGCCCTTCCTGTCTTGCCTGCTGCTCCCATTAACAGTGTACTTTGTCTATCTGCCTGTCTGCTCTCCACTCTGTCTCTGGTAAATCCTCTCAATGCCTCTGCAACTCTGGCATGTACCCCAGTTCTGTATGCACAAATAATAAATAAATCTTTTTTAAAAGTATACTCGTTTATATCACTGGCACTATGTAAGGTCATGATCCGGCATAACTGTGTCTTCTCTCCCCACAGCCATGGCCACAGCACAGACAAGCCCCAATGGGTCCCAGCTCCTGGGGGAAAGGAGGCAAAAGCTCCAGGATGTGCTGAGAGAAGCAGGACTGGCAGTTGAGTACTGGCTACCGCAGCTACAGGAACACCTTGGTGTCACCTGCACCCAGGCTCTACAACACCTAGAAGAGAAGGACCTGAAGAAGCTACAGTCCCAGGCACAACACACCTGGGAGAAAAGGGCCCTGGAGAAACTGCTGAACCTATCGCACACAGATGGCCTATCAGAGTCACAGGAGGCACAGGCCGAAATGATGAAGAAGCAGCAGAAGCAGGCGGAGCAGGTACTACAGGACCTGCAGGACTTGTTGTCAGCAGGGAGACAGCGGCAGGAAGAGGCAGTGAGGAGTAAAGAGGCAGAGCTAAGACGAGCCATGGACATCCCCAAAGAGTACTGGCCCCCTCCTCAGACATCCCTAAACAAAGTCATAGAAAGCATACAGAAACAACTTGACCTCACGGAGGGGACACTGTCCCACAGACAAAACCTTCCAGATAGAGAGCTGGTGAGATGGTATCTGGAGGGCTGGCCCTGCAGGGAATTTACAAAACCAGCTCTGAGAGAAGCCTGATAGAGAGGAAAGAAGAACTGCTCTGTGTCCCCAAGGGGTTCTCACTTTCTGGCCCTGAGCAGGGCCCACGCATGGAAACAAGAGAATTTACATCTGCTGAAGACGAGTCCATCTTCACCCAGACTATAGGAAAACTGGGCTTCGGTATAACTGCTGCAGCCAAGTGTGGAGGTTGGGGAATAAACCTGGAGACTGGTATAGATTACAACAAACATTCAGAATCCAAGCAAACCCAACAATCATGTTCTCAGCATTCATATTTCTGTACAACCAAGTTCAGCTACATCCCCCTGGCCTCCTGCCACTTCCCTGCTGACCAGCTCCAGCTCTCCAAGGCTGCTCTCCAGGAACTGCAATGTATTGATGACCTTCTGGGTCAGCCTGCAGATACAGACAGATTTGTCTTGTTGAGGAGCAGGGCTGCAGCCTTCTTCCACAGGTTTGGCTCTCACGCTAACCAGGGCCCTCTGCATCTGGGAGGAATCTACTGGTGGAAAGCCACTGCAGAGGGCTTCCAGAGCAAGCAGCTGGCAGAAGTGAAACAGCAAGCAGTGAAAGCCCTAGATAGTTACATAAGGGGCAGCTACAGTGGCATCAGTGTGCAAGTTGAGGCAGGTGTGGATGTGTCAGCCTCCCATTCAAGCACAGCTTCTCAAAAAACCACCTTCCAAAACCTCCAAACCAAAGTCCAATTATCTACTTCCCAGACAGGTGGCCCACCGGAAGCAAACAGCCTCATTCACTGGAAAGCTGGCCTCGTGGCCAGTAATCAAACCTGGTGTGTCATTGACCAGGGACTTCAGCTGGTGCCCATCTGGGACATCATCCTTTCCAGCCACAGCAGTGATTTTAAGGACCCTCTTCAGGTAGCTAACTGCCTGAAAGACTGTTATGCTGCAATGGTTGACCTCCCAGCCCAAACCCAGAATAGGGAAAAATTACTGAGTACAGGGTCAGAGACTAGGGCTTTCCTGGAGAATGTAAAATCCTGGGAGGTATCTGATCCTGAAGAGCAACTAAAGAAACTGATAGATTTCATGCAAATATTGAATGAAAAAGTTAAAAGTTATGACACTTGGATTTACACATGCCTTACAGATTTGGGTCTGCAGAATTTTCTATTAAACACAGTCAATTTCTGCCAAAAGGTTTCCACTTACAACACTAAATTTGTTAGATCTCAGTTGCGCATCCTCCTGCATCCTCATATCTATAAAGTGAAGAACTTTCCTCAGGCCCGTGCCATCATGCAGTGGATCTTCCAGTCAGAGTCAGTACGGAAGCATGTCAATATCTCCCAATTTTCTGAACTAACAAAGATCTTTAAAGAAACCCAGAAAGATCTCATGGAAGTGAAGGCCATTTCTACGTCTCTAGAACCAGTAGAGCAAGTACAAAGAAAGGCTACTTGTGAGGTAAGTGTGTCTCTTGATTCCTTCTTGAACAACCTCCAAGAAACTAAGCAGCCAGACATACAAATTCTGCTACTCTGCATTGCAATGGGCGCAGGGTACCATGCGGTAAAGAAAACGTTTCAATATATTCTGAGGTGTGAAGAAATAGACTTCCTATCAAATGAAATGCAAAGAGCGCACAATAGATACCAGGAGCTCAAAACTATTTGCAGCTACAGGGCTCACGCATTCCTGGTGCTCACAGGGCTAACCGCTACTGCTAGAGTCACAGCTGTGTCTCCACAAGAGAAAACACAACGCTTGTCATTAATAAAACAGCACATAGGACAATCATTAGCAGAAGAAGTTGCACATGTTCTCAGCAAACTCGGAACATTTTATGATTGGGAAAACCTGGAGAAAGACTTGACATTGCTCATTGATGGGGATTATAAGGCCATCATATCTCCATTGCAAGTCAATGAGGTGATGAAAGAATTGCAAACTATCTTCCATGAAAAGAACCCACCCCATGAATCACATGAAAAGGAAAATAACAAATGGGAACTCACAGAGAATAGGCCCTTGCAAGACTTACTCCAGCGTCTAAGCCTAAAGCATTACTACCCCCAAAAGATGAGCAGAGCTGATGTTCATTTGATCTACAAAGCTTCTGTGTATAACACCCTGCCCAACTCTGAGCAGGACCTTCCCTTCCACTTCCTGCAGAAGCTGCTCATGCTGGATTATGGACTGAGATATCTGGTCTTCAAAGATGAGGGAAACACAGAAAGGCAAGATTACCCAAGTGTCGCAAGTCTAGAAAATCCAGCTTTTGATCCACATGCAGATCTATTTGAAGATAGTGGTGGTCCCACTAACATTCCAACACCTAGCCCCAGGCCCCACATCCACCCTATGGATGTCCAGATGGCAATTCTTCACTGTGCAGATGACTTTGCCAGACAATATATTTTGGGCAAACTTGCCGTGTGTCAGTTTGCCCTCCCCCTTCTAATACCAAATCCCTGCAATTCTCAGATTGAATTCTCCCTCTGGTCACTCAGGCAAATTAGGAAAACCTGGAAAGAGTCAAGGACACCAGCAACTAAGAACAACAATTTCAGGAATCAGCAGATGTGCCAGGTCTCTACCCCCATTGTGTCCTTCATTCGAGTTGGAAGTGGCTTCTCTGCTTCCAAATCTCAGATCATGAACTGTCTGCTCAGTCACCATAAACATGATGTCTTTTTTAACAGACACTGCAAAGGGAGCAGCAAAGACTGTCTCTTGATGCAAGGGGTGGTGGAAATCTGCTGGTACTGCCCCGGGGGGGAAGAGGAAGACAGATTTCACAACTGCCTGACCTTCACCAATCTTCATGGAGATGCTAAGGAACACCAGGAGCAACTCACCTTCCTGCAGGAGGTCTCTTCCCTCCTTGTGGTCCTCATGTCAACTGCTGATGACAACAAAGAAAATGAACAAGTTTTCAGAAAGCTTAGGAAGTCCTCAAAACCTCTGATCTTTTTGCTTGAAACTGAAGAAAAAACTGCAAATAAAAACTCTGGTCAAATAGTGAAAATCGGAATCAGAAACAGAAATGAGGCTGAATTAACAGAAGAGCTCATGTCTACAATCCAGTGTTTGCTAGAGAGATCTGATGCTACTCTAAGCCTGCAGGACTGTGCTCAGATTGCTCGCAAACAGGGATTCCTTGTTGACGAAGACCAGAAAGACTGCAAGGAGGCCAAAGAAAAGGCAGAGATACTAATGGCCCTACTGGAAGAACCTGAGATATCTCAGATAAAGGAAAAGTTACTGCCCCTTCAGGGACAACTTTGGCACCTATGGTGTCAGAAGGACAAAGAACTGTATCACCTGAGAGAGAAGGGCAATCGGAGCATTGAACAACACAAGAGTGAAACTGAGTTAGAAAAGCATAGAATACGATGTCAACAGTTGACCAGAGCCTTTCCTCTCAATGATTTAATGAAATCTGTCCTTCAAATTCTCCAAAAACATTCAGAAACTCACATGAAATTTTATTTCTTGCAATGGTTGAGTTTGTTTTTGGAGAATCACACTGAAGGACACTTGGAAAATCTGAATCAAAAGAAAAAGACTTTGTGGTCACAGATACAAACAGAAAAGCAAAATGTACTAAAGAGCATCAGTCAGAAAAACTTGGAAAATAAGCTAGAAGCTATCTCCAGAGAGATTAATGACTGTACTCTGGGGATTGAGCAGCTTCTCAGAGAAGTTAGCCAGCTCTATGAAGCTCTGGAAGAAGTTTCTTCCACAAAAGATAAACTTATCCTGGCTCTCCCCCAGATTGCTGCAGATCTGATGATCGCTGGGGTTCCAATTGAGCTGATGGATGGGGACGCTTCCTATGTGCCTCTGAAGTGGGTGGCAGCTGTGTTTGACAAGGTCTCTGAGAGTCTAGGGGACAAACGACTGTTTGTTCTCTCTGTTCTGGGCCTGCAGAGCTCAGGGAAGTCCACCCTGCTGAATGCCCTTTTTGGGCTGCAGTTCACTGTCAGTGCGGGGAAGTGCACCCGGGGGGCCTATATGCAGCTCCTGAGGGTGGAAGAGACATTCGCAGAAGAACTGGGCTTTGATTTTGTGCTGGTCGTAGACACAAAAGGCCTTCGAGCCCCAGAACTCCACAACAAATCCCAGAATTGGGACAATGAGTTGGCAACATTTGTCACTGGACTTGGAAACTTGACTCTGGTCAATATTTTTGGAGAGAATCCATCAGAAATGCAAGACATTCTACAAATAGTTGTCCAAGCCTTTCTGAGGATGAAACAAGTGAAAATCTATCCAAGCTGCCTCTTTGTCCATCAGAACACGAGAGAAGACACAGCTGGAGAACAAACCATGGAACGACGAAGGCAGTTAGAGCAGAGACTGGATGAAATGGCAGCAAAAGCAGCTGAGCAGGAACAGTGCTCAGATGTGACCCGATTCAGTGATGTCATTAAGTTTGATGTCAACACTCACGTCTCCTACTTTGCACACCTGTGGGACGGCAACCCCCCAATGGCCCCTCCTAATCCTCGCTACAGTCACAATGTCCAGGACCTAAAGAGCAGGATTCTTCTGACCGCCAAGCGGCAATCCAGGGGAAGCATCATGAGGATATCGGATGTCAAACTGCGAGTCCAGGACTTGTGGAGAGCACTAGTGAGTGAGAACTTTATTTTCAGCTTCAGGAACACCCAAGAGGTCATGGCCATGAGCAAACTGGAAACTATGTACAATTCCTGGACCTGGGAGCTGAGGAGCCATGTGCGGGGCTTGCAGGACAAGATCATCAACCAGATTCAGAATGGGAAAACTGACATAGGCCTAATGGAAGAGCTTCATAATCCTGCCACAGAAAAATATGAGGCCATCAAGCAAGAACTTGAAACATATTTTAATGAAGATCCAGATAGTGAAATACTGGTTCAGTGGAAAGAAAATTTTGAGAGTAAGTTAAACAGCCTCAAAGACCAACTTATTGCAGAGAACCAAGGAAAAGCCAATGAACTTATCAGCTTTAAAAATAGTGAAGAAAAACTGGAAAACAAAAAATCAAATTATAAGAAGGAATTGCTAAAAAGAAGTCGAAAGTTGGCTTTAAGTGTAAAGGGCAAACAACTGAGTGAGGATGAGCTATGTAAAAGATTCAATGAACTTTGGCAAAAATGGGTCTCCGAAGTATGCTCACCACTCCATGTAGTTCCAGAAATTGATGTGGATGCAGAAATTGATGTGGATGCAGAAAACACCCTTTTGCAACATTTCAACAAGGAGAAAAATATAGTGAACATACTGAAAGAAAATTCTGGGAAAAAATTTGAAATTGATTATGGCAAGCATGTCCAAATGAACAAGAAATATAAGGTGTTTCGAAGGCAATTAGAGGCCCACGATGAACAAACCATAAAGAGGACCAGGGATCACATTGTTTCAAAATATGAAGAAATTATTACCAACATTTGGAAGCAACAGCGTGACTACAATTCAAGTTATTTCCACGAAATCCTGAAAATAATAGAGCAAGAAGTGAAATCTGCACCAATTAAGGAAAGATACACATTTACAAGTAGATATAAAATTGATTTGTCTATGAGTTTATTTCAAAGTGCATCAGAAAGATTTAAGGAGATGCACAAGGCATTCAAGCAAGCAAACGATCCTGTCAACTACCTGGAAAGCAAGAAAGAGGATTTCTTCATGAGTTTTAAGATCTCTTGTCAGGGAGCAACTTCAATCAAAACATTTGTTGATTTTCTGTGGAACAAGCTCACTCCTGCTGTCCTCACTACCATCATGGGGCAAATGGTTCATCACATTTCAAATGATATTCAAACTTGTTCTACTTTCAATGGTAACAGAGCCAACCTGGAAAAACACATTCTCATCTCTCTAGCAGAAGAAGAGAATTTTGAGAATTACTGGCAGTACCTTCATCAAACACAATCATATTTCAGGAATTACATTGAAAGTTACATTCAAAAATATTGTTCAGACAAAGAAAGTGAAAAAATGAAGAATTTTTTAAAAATAAGTTTAGATGATATCAAGAATACCATCCTTTCAGCCATTCAAAAATCCACTGAAATAGCTAAGGATAAAAGCAGCACTGTTTCTGAGTGGTTGGATTTGTTCTGTGATCAACTGGGGAGTAACCTAGTCTTGCCTCGAAAGGACCTGGTGAGCATTGAACACCAGGAGATAAAAGACAGTGATTTCCTCAAAGAAGCCATGAGTGAAGCTTTGGACTCTGCAATGGAAATAGTAGCACAGAACTGCCAGAGCAAGTTTGTAGAAAAAATGGTTCCTGAAATTGAGAAAAGGTTCTCTGAACATCTCTGGGGTTGCTGGGAACAGTGTCCTTGCTGTGGAGCAATTTGTACCAACACAGTCCCTGCACATACGGGAGACCACAGTGTTCCATTCCACCGTCCTGGGGCTGTCAATGGAGAGGATTGGCATAAGACAGGACATTTTGTCATCGAGTGCTGTACTAGTTTGGTAGCAAGTACGTATGTAATTGTTTTGGAAGATGGCAGAAAAATCCCATGGAAACATTACCGAAAGGCAGGAAGGAAATATGCCAAATGGAGCATCACACCAGACTCATCCATCCAGCCATATTGGAAATGGTTTGTCTGTCACTTCAAAGAAAAGCTACAAGAAAAATATCAGAAAAAGTTTGCTGGAAGGGGTGAAATCCCTGAGGCTTGGACCAAAATCACAAAGCAGGATGTGCTGAATGACTTGAAAAGATAATAACATTCAGTGACCACAAAAGAGCGCCAGCATAAACAATGCTCAGATATCTCCTCCTCACAATAAGAACTCTTGTTATTTCCACTTATCAAATGAAACATCTAAAAACAAATCAACCAATATTTCAAGAATTTAAGATTTTCTGTGAAAGGACTTCACTTTGCCTTGATTCCTTCTACTTTAAAAACATTTTACCAAACATATATCTTACTCAGAGTTTAAAACATTATCAGAATATTGTTTTTTCTTTTAAAGTATTCAATTTTATATAAGTTGATGACGTTAAACTAGGTTAAGGACTATTGCCTTATCAGTACCCCCAATCACCATGAACACTTTGGGTCCCTGATCCCACAGTTTTCACATAAAGTCCCTGTTTCTTTATTCTGTGAGGAGGATGCAGGCATGCAGAACTTACCAACTAAGCAAAAACAGAAGCCACAAGTCAGAGTAAGCTTGACTATAAGAACTAGACCCTGGTCCTCCTCACGTGCTGCCCTATCCTCTATTGAAAAATACTTCCAATAAAAATTGGCTTTACATCTGCCCTCTAGGTCTCTGGATCCTTCTACAACCTGTGCTGAACTTCCCTTCCTCCATACCACATCATAAATTATCAGAAAATGTTGTTCTTATAGAGAGAAATCAAGTCACTACAGGCTGCTGCAGCATTCCATAAATTAACTATTGGTTGTTTCAACAACAAACAGTTCTGTAAGCTTTCATCTCTTTGTACAAGTGAGTAGTAGTCCATTCTGTAGAGATGTCACATCCTCTTTATCCAATTATCCTTCACAGGGCACCCAGCTGTTTCCATAAGTAGTCTATTGTAAATAGTGCTGCAGTGAACATAAGAGTGCACATACCTCTTCAAATCAGTATTTTTGCACTGAATCCTGAACAAAAATGAATATTATGATGGACCTAAGTGTATCATCCAAGGCTTCCATTTATGATGGCACTGTCTATCCCTGAATAGCAGTGACAACAGTCCATGAAAAGGCAATAAAAGGACTTGGCTCTTCAGAGCTGGAAAACAGGAGTGTTGCCCACACTATCTTTGTCCCCAATGGACTGCAGGCATTTCTCAGTCTCAGATCAGATGACCCTACCTGCAGAAGAAATCCTATTTAATATACATCACTATGAATGATATATCTTCCCTCCTGTCACCTGGAAAATACACCTTAATGCCTGTCTCTCATGTCGCTTTGCCTTGAAATCTACAATATCTAGTAAACAGTTGCTGAATGCTCTTTGCATGGATATTTGTTTAATGAATCTATAATGGCCTTCAACTAAGAAATATTAAACATCAAAGATTAAAGTTTTTAATCTTTAAGTTAAAATTGTTGAATAAGAATAAAAAAAGCTGGTTTAGTAACACTCATAGGAAAGGTGGTGCTCTCAACAGAGGTCAGGCTCAAGCACTGCCCACTATCTGTGTTACAATCCTCTAGGTGTTGTAAAGGTGTTTAAAAGAACATGCTGTCCACTGGGGCAAAAAGACACCCAATGATGATGCTGTTTATATCTATAAACAGAAAAGGGCAAAAATAAGATAGCGGAAGGAAGACAAAGAGTACGAACCCAAATAAAGACTTACAACTCTTATTAAAAACCCACTGATGGAGGGCCTTCCCTGGTGACACAGCGGGTTAAAGCACAGCACTAAGAAGCTAAAGCCACTACCACATAAGTTTGAATCCCACTTGCCCCGAGGAGATCCACATGGCAAGGCAGACCTCTCCTGAGCTGCCCGCTGCTCCCCTCAGCAGTGAACTTCGTCGATCTACCTGTTCTGCTACCCTCTCTGTCTCTGGTGAATCCTCTCACCCTCCACATCTCTGGCCTGTACCCCAGTTCCATATGAATAAATAAATAAATAAATAAATCTTAAAAAAAAAAGCCCACTGATGGAAATGAGTGGGTTCCTGGTGTTAAGAACCAGCAGCATCATGGCCCCAAATAATCTACAACCATATACAATGAGGAAAAGGATAATTACCCAATACTTTTGAGAATTACTGAACATAAGGTTTGAATTGACACAAACATCTAGAGAAAGGAAGTATCCTTATTAATAAATGGTGGATAGGTGATAAATGGGTTCCTGGTTAGTGAGGCTCACAGTCAATTCACTAGGTTCGCTGATCTGTCCTCATCCAGGAGGTTTTTATGATTCCACCTAAATTTTAATATTTTAATAAACTTTTAACATTCTTTGAAGAATACTGGTGGTATTTCTAGTTGAATTGCATTAATTTACATATCATTTTTGATGGAATAAAGATTTTGACTATAATGATTCTCCTATCATGAGCATGGAATGCCTTTGCATCTCCTTACGTCACCATTTAATGTCTTAATAGTGTAATAGTGTAATAGCTTTAATTGTGTAAGTAAAACAACAGTAAGGCAGAGTGTTAAAGCACTCAAGGGACAGTGACCAGATGGAGGAGAGGTCACTATCTATGGGTCTCAACATGGCACATAATTACAAGATCACTCAGGTACAGGATTAACAACAATGGGGCTTATTTAACAAATGGAGGAAATATAGAGCTTCTGAGGCCACAAATGGCAGCTATCTCACCCCAGACAGTGTCCACAATGTCCAGAAGTCCCAAAAGAAAATGTCACTCATTCAAGATCAGTCTATCTTGTCAATGAGGGCCTTTATTTTGTGGCAAACTGACAAGCAGTTGGCCAGGATCCAACTGGAGGTGCTCACAGGTGTGTGCAGCAGCCCACAGCAATGGTCTGAAGGTGTAGCTAGGTAAGATACTACACTATTTTACCACTTTGTTCTTTAACTCTATTACTGTGCTAACTCTGCTTCTCCAAAGCTGAAAGTGGGAAGATCTACACATGGCTACCAGGCATATGACATGGTACTCCACATCATTAGTCATTCCAGAAATGCAAATAAAACCCACAGCAAAACACTACTTCATATCACAAGTAGTGATATGAAACAAGTGTTGCTGAAATTGTAGAGAAATTTTGGCTCCCCCTAAAATTTGGTGTGCATATAAAGTAATGTATTTATTTTAGAAATAGTTGTCAGTTTTTCAAAATTTGTCAAAGAGTTATTATATGAACTAGCAGTTTCACTCCTACAAATATACCTAAGAAATATGAAGTAGGCCCTCCCTGGTAGCGCACTGGGTTAAAACACAGCAATTCAAGGGAGCCTCAGCCACTTTGATGCCAGTTCAATTCCCAGCCCCAGAGGTGATCCACATGGCGCAACAGACCTCTCCTGACCCACCCACTGCTCTTCTCAGCAGTGTATTTTGTCAGTCAGCCTGTTTTGCTCCCCATTCTGTCTGTGGTGAATCCTCTCACCACCACTGCACCTCTGGCTTGCATCCTAATTCTGTATGCATAAATAAATCTTTTTTTAAAAAAGGAAAGAAATATGAAGTATATAGCCACACAAAAACTTATACATAAGTATTCATAGCAGCATCAATCATAATAGCTACAAAGTGAAAAAAAGTCCATCAAATATTGAATGGATTAACAAAAATATGGTAGATTCATAAAATGTGATATTGACCCCAAAAAGGGAGTAAACTGATGATACATGCTACAACATACAAAAAACTGTAGAACATCACACTTAGTGAAAGAATCTAGAGACAAAACGATACTACTCATGTGAAATGCCAAAATAGGCCAATCTGTAGAGACAGAAATTAGATTACTGGTCACCTAAGGCTGGGAGGAAGTGTCGAAGGGAGTACTTAGTACTCCCAAGAAATACAAAGTATATGTCCACACAAAAACTTACAAATATTCATGGCAGCATTAATCATAACAGTTACAAAGTGAAAAAAAAAATGAATGTCCAGAGTAGTGTGCAGGTGTTGGGAAGTGCAGGAGTGTAGCTGCTGCAGGGTGCTGCTTGCAGTTGGTGGGACCCCTGGGCCAAGGCAGTGAAGGATGCTATGTATAAAAGTGGGTATATTCTACAATGAATGAAAATAGCCAGTTCTTTAAGAGAAGTACTGAATCTTTACAAAAATCTCCTGTACCTTGGATGAGACTATCCAAAAGGAGCAGATATTTTAAAAGCACCTGAAGAATGTTTTCCTTAAAAACAAAAATGTGGAGGACTCAGAGAAGATCAAAGAACTTATTAAACAGGGCAAATTTGTAATAGAGCTATGAAGCAGAGCTACTATTCAGATGGAAACAAGACCAACTGATTGCTGTAACTATGATTTGAAAATCAGCTGTTGATAGCAAATATTATGAAACTAAAGCTAACTACAAATGGCAAGGTACACATGTCCTGCAAAAAATACCTACCTGATGCCTTACTAACCGATAAAAAATTCAACTTCTATTTACAGAGTTTTATCAGCAACCATTTATGCTCAACTTCTATCTTACAATAGAAGTTAAAATTGTATTATTGACAAATGCAAATTGCAAATTAAAGATCACCAATTCTGAATGAAAATGTCATTTAAAACCATTTACCTTAACAGGTTTTTGCCAATTATTTCTAACCCAATTCTTTGTTTTACTGATAACAGAATGGCAAAATAACTTTTTGAAAAGTCACTCCTCTAACCTGATGAAAGAGTATTATTTTCTTTTCTGCTTTGGTACATAAGCACCATATATTCAAGGTTCACTACAAAACAAATGGCACTGGTAATAATTTAAGTACAGTGATAAAGAATAATATGTCTGGAGCAAGAATAATTCTAATCTCAGAACAACTTGCTATTCAACATAATTGGTATTACAGATGTACATATTCAGTTATTTCCAAGTTTAATTTCACTGCTAGCTTGCTTTGGGCCTTAAAACATATTACCTGTTCTGTATCAACTACCTCTGGTGATAAAATGTAATAAACAATGCTATTCTGTAAATGCCCATCAAGTATTGAATGGATTAACAAAATATGGTTGATACATACAATTTGATAATGACCAAAAAGAAGGAATAGACTACTGTTTCACCTGCTACAACATAGA